GTGGTTAAGTCGTTGGGCTAGTATGCGAAGGGTTCCGAGTTCAAACCCAACCGTAGGCGGGAGATTTTAAGTTAACAAAATCGGCTTTTTCAAGCGTTGTTGAGTTAGGAGTTATGAGTTAAGGCGTAATTAATAGGAAAATGGGCGTAACAAGCATTAATAATTTTTTTTCTCCAATATTTCCAATATTGGTACTTGGCAAATAAGTCTTGGGCCAATTGTGGGCCAAAATTGGGCCCGACATGATCCCAATGCTTGGTCAATTATTGTTTGCCATTATTGGCCCGGCGTTATCATCCAAACGTTGGACCAATGATCGACCATTTAATTTACCAAAAGCCGGCCAGTACTGGCTATTGGCTTACCAGGCTTGGACCAAGGCTCGCCCAATACCGAAACCCTACTTGGGTAGCCCCTAGTGACGGCGCAGGGTCCCTTGCCAATATTAATCGAAAATAGGAAAAACTTATATCAATGAAAACTATGAGGGCGATTTATATGATGTAACTGTTCACAGATTTCATGTAACTTGTGGCGTTTATATTTTATGGATTGAATACGATTAGGAGGTAGTGGAAGGGGTAGTTGTGTCGTGTATAGATACACTGTAGCTGTCGGCCTTATTTGTTGGATAGAGACGAAACTTTTACATGGCCGATACGCTACCGGGTATCTCGATTTAATCGGGGCCGATGATCGGTGAAGACATCATCGGAAAATCAGCGGCCTTTCATAGGAACCCGATGATCGGTGAGGACATCATCAGCCAAAGAACGGCCGTTCATCGGGACCCCAATGATCGGTTGGGACATCATCGGCCAATAAACGGCCTTTCACCGGGGCCTCGATGGTCGGTTGGGACAACATCGGCTAATGAACGGCCTTTCATCGTGGCCCCTATGATCGGACAACTGACTTCCGCCCAATACTCGCCCGTGTTCCAAAGGTTGGCAAATCCTACATGGGAAGGTGCTTTCAATAACCGTACATTGTCATTACCATAGAAATCAGGCGCGTTAGAAAAGGCCGAAACAGTAATCAAAGAAAAATCATCAGTTGCATAACGGGACATGCTAGGCAACTCATTACGAGCCGTAAAACACCTGAAACATTACAAGGATTATTCACGTTGTTAAAAGACGCGTTCACTGAATTTTTTGACATCGATCATATTACAGATGAATAGCCCAGATTAGTTCAAGAAGAGAATGAACCGATTGAATTATTTGGAGCTCCAGTATTGGAAGTTTTAATTTGTGGTCTAGAGGCAGCCAGAGAGAAATAAATGAATTAGAAGTTACCGGTATTAACACTTTTCTCAATAATTCAGCAATAACATGCTTTACGCGAGGTTTACGAAATGAATTATTAAGATTTACAATCTTGTCAAAAGAAAAACACGTTCCTTTACAAGACGCAATACTAGAATAGAGTTAGAAAGGGCTGAACGTGCATGACATTTCCACAGTTCCAAAGGGTTAAGCCAATTCCCAACGAGTGGGCTCCCGGACGCAATTTCAATTATAGATCAGAAAAGGGGCATGAGCCCGGGCGTCAACAGAAACGTAAAGGCCGCGCTTATCGCGATAATCGGCAGGGAAATTGGGAGCGCGAACGACGACACTACTCAGATACGAAACCAGATAATCGTTATCAAAACCATCGTGAAAATCGGGGGAATTATTCTTTCAGTCGATTTCAATATCCGAGAAGAGAAGAGGTTCGTGAAACTCGTGATAATAATTCGAATCATTTAAACGTGAGGGGCGATCCGTCGAGAGAGATCAGGTGCGGGGAAATACTGATTACTCGAGCAGAATTCACCGATTCTGCGCACGACATCAGGGTAGATGAAATCGGAAAACTTCGAATCATTCCTTTGAAAGATATTGAGTACATAAAAAATGATTCTCAATTGTTAGTCGACACCGGACATCAGCAAAACTTACTAAAAAGAGGTGTTAGATTCACGTGCAATTATCAATGAAAAAAAATGCTGGGTTACTGGGATTAGATCGGGAATTCTGCGAACTCTAGGTGAAGTTACTATTCCTGTGGGAAATATTGACATAAATTTTCAAGTTGTCACCCACACATTTCCACTAAAATCAGATGGAATTCTCGTTATCACGTTTATCTCTAAACAAGAGGCTGTACTCACTTGATCAGCCTGGCGGGACAAAATATTTTAGCACCTTGGATTTAGCTTCAGAATTTCATCAAATCCCCATGGATGAACAATCAAAGCATAAGACTGCTTTCTCGACTCCCTTCGGTTTTTTCGACTTTAACAAAATGACGTTTGGATTAAAAAACACTCCGGCAACCTTTCATCGAATGATGGATATGGTTTTATCGGGACTACAAGGAGTTGAACTCTTCGTTTATATGGTCGACATTGTCATTTACGCTTGTTTTGTTAAACAACAAACTCATAAA